AGCCGTGAGAGTACTTGTAGTATGTAGTTATAATCTAGCACAAACTGGCCCAGTATATATGTTTTGTACTTTTTGTAATTTTGTTCAATACATTTTGTATTTTTTTCATCCCAATGATGTTGTTGGTTGGTACTTAGAGAGTCCTACCCTTCTCATTTCTTTTTTCTTTAGAAGGCCATCAGTTTGTTAATGCAAATGGATTTTGAATCAGTGTTTACCCACACACGTGTGTACGGTGCATTTTCCCAGGTATGCCACTTTCACATTCTGGGAAAAAGCGCCAGACATACATGCTCAGATAAATGCAGAAGCAGAAGCAGTCAGTGTTTACAAGCAACGGGGCACATACAACCATTCACAATTGGCAGCTGTATGTAGTGCAGGAAAGTCCCTAACATTTGATGCTTCAAGAGTCAGAAGCATGTAAAGGTCTGTGTACATGAGGCATTAGTGTTCTATCAGCAGTCAGACTTTTCACACAGCAGCAAACCTCCACAGCAGACAGATAGAGAGCCCTGAGCATCAATCAGCTCACATATAAATAACGGCCTGTGGACAGCAGAGATGAATTAAAGAGGTCTGAAAACAGGTAAAACATGGACCTAGAAAAAAAGGCTTTATCCCACCCAATGCTGTACAAAGCCTCTGAGATCAAGGATCCAAAAGGGGGTTATTATTATCTGAGTAATAACAATGTTTGTTTCCTCCAAAGCAGACACATACCCTTTAGTCTCTTACCATTTGTAGATGAGATACCTAGGTAACAATTATATACCAGTACACCATTTAACTCCTGCTAGCCAGTGCCTCACAATATATTGTATATATTTGTGTTAGAAGCCTTTAGCTGAGTGCTACAAAGACTGATGATTGTCTCAGTGTACTAATGGTCTACTAATCAAGAAAATGTGTCAGAAAGGTTACCCATGTTCTTGTTTAAGGACAGGAAGTTATGTAGCAAAACAACTGGATTTACATTCTAAATGGATGCATAGAAAAGATTTAAATTAGTAAATGGAACTGAGAATTCCCATGTTAATACAAGGAAATCGCCAAGCCAGCCTTCAGGGCTTTTGTAGTTCTCTTATCTGTTTTAGTCTCCACAAGGGAAACAATATAAGATCAGTGGAGACGATTATGCAGGAAATGGCTGGAGTGGTGTTAAAGTGTTCGGTTACATCAACTATTTTCTATTACTTCCTAATTATAATTTGTTAATGCCCTGAAATCAGCAGATCTGTACTGAAAAAAAACAAACTTTGTGATAGTAATATTTCATTGGACATCTGGATTCCCACAAATTACCCAAGTGTTGATATACAAAAAGCATGTTATGCTAAGATCTCTTTTAAGGGGGCTGTTGTGAAAAGAAGAGACAGAAGAAGAAAGTCCATGCATATTTTTATTATCACTGCTTGATGTATAACAGGCATAGCTCAGCAGATGTTGAAAAAAAGCATTTATTTTCACTATACTAAAGCCCAGGGCCCCATAAAAAAAGGAAAAGAAATGGTAACTAAGTCGGATGCTGGCTTTCACATGTATAAACAGTGATTATGAAATTAAAGTTATAATAGTCCTACCCTTAATGTAATTTTTGCAAACTGAGTTGATTTTTCTAAACTTAGCAACACAGATTGGCTCCTGATAGATCTTTGAGGAGGAAGCAGAAGGTCTTTGTTTTCACCCAGCTTGCACATACAGAGTTTGTCGAATGTCCATCAAGCTGAACTTTAAAGATGGCTTATCTCTACATTCTGCTGCTATAAGTAGGGTTAGAGTAAACTGCTTTACAGATCATGGTGAATAATACAAATCTCCATTTGCTTTGATGGATCTTTTGCATATGTCAGCTATTATGTGAATCTTAATATATGCAATATGTGTGGACTGGTGGAGTGATTTCAGGTTATTCTTTGCTACAATTCACAAATCACTTAACTGAATGTGTTGACTCAGCATAGTTTATAATCTGTGGCATCTAAGAACCAGTTTTCCAGGAGAACCATACGGGTAGGGGTAAGACAATACAAATCCATAACTTTCCAAAGTGTCAAATCACATTTGACTTTACTTAAATTTCCCTGCTAATTAGACATTTTCTCAAAAAAGTATTGAGAGTTGTTGTGTTTACTTTTATTGAATTACCGGTATGCCTTCCACCATGTGTGGTTTTCTATCTTTTCTTTTTCCATTTTTTTATCTTTTCACTTTTTTTTACAGCAATTCAGTTATCATCCGGTTTTTCAGCTGCCCTGGTCATAGTCTTCAACCGAGTCCTCTTTTGGGGCTTTCTTTTTTTTTAAGGGGCGTGGTTATCCTCCAAGTAAGCTGTGCTCTCCATTTAATTCCGTGTGTATTCCAATGCCAGTACTCCCATAAATAAGAGTGGGGTTCTCTCTTTGCAGAGAAACCTGATTCTTTTTTTGGCTTCCACATCTATTTAACATGTATACATGTAGTCCTGACATGCTCCAGGCAGATATAATAAATACAATACATTTGTTCCTGCTTCATTTTAATTTAAAAACCATTAAGATCCAGTTACATTTTATTTTAAAAATAATTAAAAGTACCTGAAGCGGTCTTGATGTATGTCTCCTCTAATTACCTGCAGAACAGTATTAAGACTGGAAGAGGGAGGGTGAGCATTGGAAGCCAATTAAGCTGAAGTGCTAACAAATTAAGTGAAGGTGCTAACAAAAGGACAAAGCAGAAAGAACAGCAGAATGTTGTGATGAGCATGCTGCTGCTATTTCATTGTCCAATCAGAAGGCTGGGAGTGTGGATTTGAAGAAGTGCTGCTGCAGTAAAGGTTAGGCATTTTGCTTTGCTGTCTGGCAGAGGTGTCTAGTTAACAAAATTGCCTGCACATAGCTATATCTACCTACCCCTAAATCTTATACAGATCTGTTCTGCTCCTTACAACAGCGCGGAAGGAGATTTCCTTGCATCCACATAGCTTTTGTGGATGGAAGAATTAGTGAATTTTATATCATTCAGCTTGCTGGTTGAAAGAAAAAACTCAGTGTGCAACCAGCTGTAGAATCACCATTTATCCATACATTCAAAGGAAGCATTGGTGGAGTGCCAGATCCAAAGGTAAGTGTAATGTAGTGTGTGGTCCTCAGTTCTAACAGGCATCTCCCTAACATTTAAGGTCACCTTATGGGTCCCTTGAGTTGTCCAAAGAAGTTGCAAAGGAGGAGAATACCTCAAGTTTATAGTAAGTATAAGTCCAGTATAAGTTTATTAGTTATCCCAACAGTGGATGACTTTTGGAAATGAATGAAGGAAAACCTAGTTGATATCTTACGTCAGCAGTTTTTTGAAAGGGATAAAAACTTAAAGAGGAACTTGACCATAGCTATCAAAGGAAAAAAATGTAAATCCCCAACACAATCTTAGATTGTAAGCTCCAAGGAGCTGGGCCCTCAGAACCCTCTTTTTTGGGTGTGGTTTGAATGTGGGCAAGGACACAGGGGCCCCATGATCCCCTATTGCCCAGGGGGCCCATGAGTTGTCAGTCCGCCCTTGACTATATCTTTTAGATTGTAAGCTCTAATGAGCAGAGCCTTCTGAACCCTCCTGTATTAATTTGTATTGTAATTGTACTGTCTGCCCTTATGTTGTAAAGCACTGAGCAAACTGTTGGCGCTATATAAATCCTGTATAAATAATAATAATAACAATAATGTCCCTGTATACAAAATAAAAACACATACTTTTTAGTGCATGGAGTCCAGCATTGTCCTGCTTGCAGGCAAAGTTCTCCCTACTCTGCTCTTCTCCTGTGCCGCCATCCTGAATCGACAGCCAATGCATGCACTGGCATGCTGCAGAGAAATCTTTGGCGAGTCGGTGCATGTGCACAGCAATGGCTCAGGTCCTTTCCAGTAATATGACAGTCATACTACTGACAGTGACCTTAGCTGTTTATGCACCGCATGGGGTCCAATTACATATAATTCTTGCTTAGCAGGAATAGAGAATTGATAATAAAAAAAATACAGTATATTTAGATTATATTTATATTTATATTTTTTTCTGCAGTTATGTAAGAGGGCAGAAGGTAGGGAAAAAGGACCTTAAGGAAAGGGATGAAGGTCCACTTTAAAGTCTAGCTAAAAAAAACCCCCATAAAAATCAGCAGAAGGGACATAGTACAATGTGTTCCTTGTGTTGATTCCTCTGCTTTCATAAGAAATATTTATCTGTTTTACCACCTGCCCCCCACCCCCTGCCCCCGGCCACACCACCATAATCTTCCAGTGTGGCTGTGGTTAATACAGCTACAGGGCTTTCAGGAGCTCTCACCAAGAGAGCTCAACTATGCCCATCCTTTCCTGCCAGATCTGACATTCATAGAAGCCATAGTACAGCTCCTTTGAATGACACAGGATCTCTGAATGGAGGGTGGGGAGCTACCATCCTCCCATCCCCATTCAGAGATCCTGCAGCAGGAAAGGGTGGACATAGTCAAGCTCTCTTGAAAGGAGCTCCTGACACCCCTACAGTTGTATTAACCCCTGCTGCAAGGGCTAGGAGCTTTAACCACTTAACTCCTGAGGATTTACCCCCCTTCCTGCCCAGGCCATTTTTTGCATTACAGCGCTGTTACTTTAACTAACAATTGCGCGGTCATGCAAAGCTGCATCCAAATGAAATTTACGTACGTCCTTTTTTTCCCATGAATTGAGATTTCTTTCGGTGGTATTTGATCGCCTGTGTATTTTTATTTTTTGCGCTATAAAAAAAAAAGACCGTCAATTTTTGAGAAAAAAAACAATATTTGGACTTTTTGCTATTAAACATGTCCAGTAAAATATGTAAAGAAATAAATTTACGCCAAAATGTATTCTGCAACATGTCTTTGCTAAAAAAAAAAATCCCAATACGTGTAATTAATTGGTTTATGTGAAAGTTATAGCATTTTACAAATGCGCGTTATAGGTACTGTGATTTTTGTTTTCTACTAGTAATGGCGGCGATCAGCGACTTTTTAGCGGGACTGTGGGCATTCTGACACTGAGGAGAACTGAACTGGTGTCACTGACATCCCCAGTGACACCAATACAGTGATTAGTGCTAAAAAAAAAGCACTGACACTGTACTAATGGCACTGGGCAGGAAGGGGTTAATATGAGGGGTGACCAAAGGGTTAACTATGTGTAGGAAGTGTTTTACTAGGTGGTGGGGGGGTGTGCTTTACTGTCAGCACACTGCTCTGGATAGCTGTGCTGTGCACAGCCATCCAGAGCAGTGTGCCCGAGCCGACAGGGAGTAAGGACTGTTAGTAAACAAAACAGTTTTCCTCCCTGTCGGAGATGCTCAGTAATCACTGGGCACCTATGAGTAAATACCGTTCAGGACCCCATGATTGACAGCCGCGGCCGCGAATGATGTTGCAGGTAGGGCATGCGCCCCCTACCGGGAAATGCAAAATCATGTATATATATATATACAGTCATGGCCGAAATTGTTGGCCACCCTTGATATTTCTCCAGGAAATCATGTATTTTCTCACGAAACGTATTGCATTAACACATGTTTTGCTATACACATGTTTATTCCCTTTGTGTGTATTGGGACAAAACAAAAAAAGGGAGGAAAGAAAGCAAATTCGACATAATGTCACACAAACCTCCAAAAATGGGCAGGACAAAAGTATTGGCACCCTTTCACAACTGCGGATAAATAAGAATGTTACAAGCATGTGATGCTCCTGTAAACTCACCTGGGGCAAGTAACAGGTGTGGGCAATATAGAAATCACACCTGAAAGCAGATAAAAAGGAGAGACGTTCACTTAACCTTTTGCATTGTGTGTCTGTCTGTGCCACACTAAGCATGGACAACAGAAAGAGGAGACGAGAACTGTCTGAGGACCTGAGAACCAAAATTGTGGCAAAATATCAACAATCTCAAGGTTACAAGTCCATCTCCAGAGAACTAGATTTGATGCCTTTGTCCACAGTGCGCAACATTATCAAGAAGTTTGCAACCCATGGCACTGTAGCTAATCTCCCTGGTCGTGGACGGATGAGGAAAATTGATGAAAGATTGCAACGCAGAATAGTCCGGATGGTGGATAAGCAGCCCCAAACATGTTCCAAAGACATTCAAGCTGTCCTGCAGGCTCAGGGAGCATCAGTGTCAGCGCGAACTATCCGTCGACATTTAAATGAAATGAAACGCTATGGCAGGAGACCCAGGAGGACCCCACTGCTGACACAGAGACATAAAAAAGCAAGACTACAGTTTGCCAAAATGTACTTGAGTAAGCCAAAAGCCTTCTGGGAAAACGTCTTGTGGACAGATGAGACCAAGATAGAGCTTTTCGGTAAAGCACAATCATTCTACTGTTTACCGAAAACGGAATGAGGCCTACAAAGAACAAAACACAGTACCTACGGTAAAATATGGTGGAGGTTCAATGATGTTTTTGGGTTGTTTTGCTGCCTCTGGCACTGGGTGCCTTGACTGTGTGCAAGGCATCATGAAATCTGAGGATTACCAAAGGATTTTGGGTCGCACTGTAGGGCCCAGTGTCAGAAAGCTGGGTTTGCGTCCAAGATCCTGGGTCTTCCAGCAGGACAATGACCCCAAACATACGTCAAAAAGCACTCAGAAATGGATGGCAAAAGAAGCGCTGGAGAGTTCTGAAGTGGGCCAGCAATGAGCCCAGATCTAAATCCCATTGAACACCTGTGGAGAGATCTTAAAAATTGCTGTTGGGGAAAAGGTTTTGTCCTTCCAATAAGAGAGACCTGGAGCTGTTTGCAAAGGAAGAGTGGTCCAAAATTCCGGGTGAGAGGTGTCAGAAGCTTATTGATGGTTATAGGAAGCGACTGATTTCAGTTATGTTTTCCAAAGGGTGTGCAACCAAATATTAAGTTAAGGGTGCCAATACTTTTGTCCAGCCCATTTTTTTGGTTTTTGTGTGACATTATGTCATATTTGCTTTTCTGCCTCTGTTTTTATATTTGTTCCAATACATACAAAGGGAATAAACATGTGTATAGCAAAACATGTGTTAATGCAATACCTTTTTTGTGTGAAATACTTGATTTTCAGGGAAAAATATCAAGGGTGCCAACAATTTCGGCCATGACTGTATGTGATTTTGCGCACTCCTTCTGCTCTGTAGCAGTATATCTGCTATAGGGCGGGGGGGGGAAGCGGTTTTAAACTGGAACTTGACTTTCTCAATCAACATTGACTATTTTGAATCTTAATGCTGCTAGCATTTGCAAAAAGATAGGAAGGTATATTATATGTACTTGTTTTTAAACTTTTTTTACATTCCTTTAGTTACTTCCTAGTTTCCATGCCTAGGCAAATGATATCATACATCTCAGGAGTTTTCAGGAGGGGAGGAGGGGTTTTCTCAGCTAAACACACTCTCCTGCCTGCAAGCTTCAGCCAAATGCAGATGAATTCCAGGAAGTAAATAAAATGCCACGTGAGTCCTTTGACCCTACTTAAGATGGCCACGGCTAGAAATACTAGGGAGGTGTTTTTTCAAAGTGATTTTTCAGCATGAATGGATGGAACTTCCCCCATCCATTCATGTCCATTCATTCAGACATGAATGGATGGGGGAAGTTCCATTGAATATATTAAAATAGATAAATAACGCTTTTGGTTTGTGGTGCTCAGATACAGTGTAGTTCCATTTTAAGCTGATTCAAATATAGAGCTCCCTCTAGTGGTTAATCTATAAATCTCTATATTTCATACAATAAAAAAATATGGAAGCGTAAACATGTCAAAATATGAAATACACATAAACAATTACTTTAATGTTAGTGTGACGATTATGCGCAATAGAGACATGAACGCTGTATGTGACAGCCATTTTGTCTCTCTTTTCCTCCCTCCTCCCTCTAGAAATGGAATTTGTAGCTGAAATTTGTAACAAACTTCAAAAGAGCCTCCTATCTTAAATAAAACACAAATAGAGACTCAGCTATAGAGCTGTAAACCGCTAATTAGTCTGGTGCAGGATGTCTGCTTTGAAAACCACTTTCCTCTGCCCGATCGTAAAACAATAACTCAGTCAGCCATCACACATGACCTGTTAGGCCATTAGGGCTCTAGGATGCAGAGCGTGCCATATAACGTCCATTCCACACGTAACCATATCTCATACAATTCATAAAGTTCAGCAGGAACTGGGCACATTAATATTAGGTATATATTTGGATAGATAATTTTAGTGCAAGCCAAACAAGATCATACATGACTATATTAGCACATAGGAGAGAGAAAAAAGCAGTCTCTTCCCTCCTAGGTGACAAGGGAACACTGTGTTTGGTATCCCTGGGTTTGAATTATAATTCTGAATAATAATCTGCCAGTTGCTAGAATACCACCTGCACATACTGGAAGTTATTAATATTAGTATGAAACTGAAGTTGGGACTTGGTCATTAACTTGGGGGCCGACTAGCACCCATCCCCAAACTGGATGATAGGTTAGTTGTTCTCAGGCGACACCCCTTTCATATCATAGAAAAAGACTGATAGGCCTGGGAAAAGAAAGCTCTCGTTTAACATCAATCAAGAAACAATTTAACGGACTTCAGAGCCAAAGCAACCTTTTTGTTTGGACAATTGGACTCTGCTAAAACCAAGGACATTACATGTATTCTGCCTTCTGAACTCCTTTCTTTTATTTCTCTGTTGCTTTATTATTCTCTTTATGTCTTTGTAACAACTTTTTCTGTAAATATTTTAATTGCACCATTTTTACCCTTTTAGTAATAAATCCTATTTTGAAAAGTGTTGACACTGTCTCTAAAGCTTTTAATGCAAAGTAAAGTATCCCTGTCTCTTGACGAGTGCTACTGTATGTAATAATCCTCTGAATATATCTGTCTGTGGTGACAGTGTGTATTACAGACGCTTATGTGAATATCATAGCGTTATTGCTAGGATTTGTGAGTTTCCTCCTTCTCTGTAAAAAGGTGGTGGTGGCAGTCTGAAGGGTTAATTGCGTAATTAACCTGACCCAGTAACAATTGCTCTCAGGCTGCTGGCACACAGATTGTGGTCCCGCGAGCTGGAAAATCTTTGTGCAGGGCGCAGCTGAGAGTGGCATTGTTACACAAGTGATAGCGCAGTGCAAAATCGGCTGGTCCTTCAGTCACGAGTTGGTGAGAAGGGCGGGGGTCGGACACCACGTTCCGTCACAGTTAACACTGAAAAAATTACTACAAATATGTGCTAACTGGAAATATACTATAACTTCTCTTTAACCTTCAGCATTGTACCTTGGGTAGCATGGGTCCGCCGAAAGCTCTGGACAGCCAGGCCACACTCAGGGTCAGTAAACAGTCCTTGAGCTTGGTTTTGTGATTATATTAAGGGGTTTAGAACTTGGATAGAGTTGAGGGGTGTAGGGGATGCCCAAGGAAACTGAAAACTTGTAGGGCAACTATGTACAAAAATGTGGGCCAAAAATAGTCGCTCCTTTAAGATACTCCAAAGCTATATCATGTATCTCCTCAGACCCTAGATGAATCCTCCTCTTCACCTAGCTGCCTGAGGGTATTCCCTGGGCAAGGGGACCCAGATGCTGCCAACTTGAAACAGTCCCAAATGAGAAGCTAGTTGGGTTCTCCACCTGACTGCCCTCTCCCCTTATCCGACCTGGGGGGGTAGGATTACTTACTATGTCTCTCCTGCAAACTTAGTGGGTTAGTGACTGCTTTCAGGCCTGACGCGGGGCTGGCTCCTTCCCTGCTCCACAGGCTGTCCTCTCTCAGGAGACATTAATGTAGAGAGATCCTCCTTTCCAGTACCCTGCCAGTAGGTGGGCCCCTTCCCTGGCCCCTTCCCTGGCTCCACACTCTAACCTTCACTCCATCTTCCACCCTGCACTGACTCTTGCTGCTGAGGCTCAATCATATTTGAGGGCTGTTGTGGCCCTTTGTCAGGACTCCTGCTTGGGAATTGGCCACGGTCCTTTAAGTATGAAAGTTTCCAGCTTCTGCAGCAAGGGGAGGGGGGGTGTATCAGAGAACTGACCTTCAGAGCCCTCAGCCCTGACCTAAACTAACCTGTCTGACTCACACCCAGGCTCCTAACAAGCCTCTATCTAAAAAAACTAACTAACTCCCCCTAGCTGAACATGAAGGGCGTTACATTTTTATTTCGCACAACGGTACTTTTATGACAAAGAGCATTAGTTACAACCAGAACTTAGTAAGTTCTGGTTATAAAACTGTAGTCAGATCAGTCACAAAGATTTGTTCGTAAAATTGTGTCTTGGAAAAGCATGGGGTCTGGGGGTCATTGTACTAAATCATCAGTGATTGTTTGAATTGCATTTTGGGGTTTGCAATTATAGTGATATAGTGATAATATAGTGATAATTATAGTGAAACCCGCCATGCCTCTTACTAAAGACTGTCTAATTTGCAAAAGGAGGTCATTGGAGGAAT